AAACAATAGCTAAAAGTAAAGTTATTGATCCATAAGACTTAGTATACCGATCCCTTAGAAAATGCGAGAAGAATACAGAAAACAAGATAGCGATGCTTTTGATGACTATTTAGTTAAACAAATTATGATAAATGAAAGGTATAAAGTACAAGTTGAGTTTAAAACTTTGTTGTTATAATACATTAACTAGACAAAAATTTATTAAAAAGGTGGGGACAATATCATCGACCCTGAAAATATACTTCCTGAGGTCGACGATATGTTAGTGGGGCATGCGGGCCTATTCGCAGAAGATTGGGTGAACACAAAAACGCTTGTAAAGGCTGCTGGATCCAACGGACAGAAGTGCTCGTACACGGGATAGACTAGATACTAGATAAAAGGAATATAAGAAAGGCTATTGAAGTATGTTGTATGAAGGACAGTGGTGAAAAATTGAATAAGAACTATTCATGCTTGGCTGAGAGATTGAGACAGAGTATTGATTGATTATAGAAAAGAAGGCAGCTCAACCTGTCAGCCTAGTGATGGTTATAACTTCACAATCTTCCAACATGTATATCAAGCTCACCAAGCAAACCAGAGATTACACAATCCCGCTCATGCCTTTCCTTGGACCGTTAAGCTATAATGACCGTAGAATGACGAGTAGTTTCGTAACTTAACTATAATGCATACAAGCTTAAGTCTGATTAACTCAACCAAAGTCGCTTACGGAATTAAGCGACATCGGTCATGCTTCTCCTTGAGTTATCAAGCCTTAATGATCAGTCCGATATTCGAATTTTGTGAGTACTCTGATTTGGGATCGGTATTGTGTATATACCTTAAGCGAAGTACGGTGTATGGTGGACTGGGACAACATGAATGTCGTAGTAAATCAAATGGCTATAGTAGAACAGGAACTAACCATTGTCTACTAGTGGGATAGACCTTTGAATCTCTCCATAAGTCACTTTCATACGAATTGAAGGTCTATCAAAAAATAATAACTGTAATGTATTGAAATTTAAAAGCACTTAGATCAGCAAATTTATAGTTTTTTATGTAACAGTATTACAAATATTAGAAGAATTAAAGAACCACTTGAGTAGATTTTTGCTAAAAAATCGGATAGAGGTTTTGTGGCTAGTGGAGAATTAAACGTAATGAAGCAAAATATGCCTCTGGTCTGCCTGAAACCTATAGACACGAATGCTTCTAAATTAGATTTCAGTTCAAAACTGATATTAATTCTAGGATAAGTAGTAGCAAATGACAATTAACAAGAGGTAACAAGTATGTATAAATGATGTAGAATAAGAAGAAAAGACGTATCCACCGATCCAACCCAGAAATGCAGTGATGCCAGATGAAGGCAAACATAATCTCCTACAAAGTGAAATATTGCATTATGTAGATAAAAAAGCGACGAAATAAATAACTCGTTCTAAAAAAGACGAACCTGCTCAAGTTTTGGCAGCTGACGCATTGTGATGCTCGGATTATTCTCTGGTCTCTCGATGATGTCTCGCAAACGACCATATTTGCGGCGAGTTGATTGTTGGTTAGCCAACTCACCGGTAACTTGGATAGCATGATTCAGAGCTGGAAGGTAGCGCTCTGCCATATCACGCAGATGGGCGTTTAACACAGTCCTATCCACCAGTGGTTCACTTGCGGCACCTGGTCCGATAGAAATACGAGCAGCAGCACTACTGGCTCCGACGGTGCTGGCTGCTATCGTTGATGGCGCCGTTCCAGCAGCTGGCGGAGAAACCCCGGTTCCCATGAGTGCACCCGAAGTGGAATCTACCATAGATTGAGCACCCGGGGTCCCGGAGGAGCCTAAGAGGACAGCAGACCCAGCTACAGGAGTACTTTGTCCAACTAAGCCACCCAATTGTTGTTGGTGCTGGTGTTGACCAGGAGAAGAAAGAGAAACTAAGTGGCTGCCTGGCTGCCCAGCTGGAGAAGAGCCAGAGGGCAAAACCGGTAGGTGTTGTGCCACTGGAGGCCCAACCATCACAGGTTGGGTTACTGATCACAGGCCAGACCCAATATGAAGTGAGTCGGTAAAATAACACAGAAGAGGGCATTCAAATAATGACATTTTTAACAGAAGCACAAACCAATGCTAAATATGATACAATAATGTGAAGTATTTGCACATAAATGCATTCAATAAGAAAAATCAATAAATTTAAAAGGAGTCATAGAATGACACCTCGCTTTAAATATGGAAGACATATGATAGAAGAAAATTCAAGCAAATCGAACTATCTCCGTTATCCTTAAGCACCAAAAAGCAAGTGACTAACTTCAATTTAGCTCTCTATATGTACTTAACTTGATTGTCAATGTGAAAGTAGAATTACACGTAGATTGTCATTTGGGAGAAAACTGGCTAAGCTTGCATTCGTTATATGACGAACGTGTTTTCGTACAGTAGTTTCTCTCCCACATATGCGGGCTTCATTGCTAAGGTCGTTTTTAGTAATACGTATGGGATCAACGTAGGTAGTATAAATCTGGTCATATTGTCAGGAAGACCTAGGAGCACACCTTGTTCGGAGTCCATAGTATGCAAATAATTTTAAGAGCCGGACAGTGGACTTGATACATTCCCAGACATTTCGCCGGCATCGTCAGTGAGTCTTGACATTCTCAGCACCAAACTACAACTAGCCGAAGAAGTAAGTGAAGTCAAACCCTTGACCAACTTTCTACCGAAACGGCTGTACTATCACTCCTTTTACTGTACTGACTCCTATACCTATTTTCCACGATCTTGTCTCGCCCTCGTCATATCAGAACTTCTGACTTGTTTATATTCCACTCCTAAAAAGTGCGCCCTTCTGGCAAATTTACCATGGCGTCATCACATCCGCTGCTTGCCTTGCTCGCCTCCATTTCGACTAGCTTATCCGACTCGAGTCTTCTGTCCGAATCTGCATCATAGATCCATAGATCCGTTTCTTATCTTTCTGGTTAATCGATTTCAATCGGTTCCAGCCACCATGTACTTCTAACTTCAGGCACTATTTCTCAAGTCTCCAATGGTACGTACAATGTCGCCTTACTTGAAGAGCGCCTAGGCTCTCATTCCCATACTTGCGGATATTAGGCATTGTCTTCATGCATCATCTCCTTGAATAAACTCGTGTACCATGAGCAACCTGTTTACATAAAGCGCAGTTTATATGAACTAGTACTTATTCCTATTTACATCAAATCAGTCAACCATAAAGATAAAAAAAGAACAATGGGCCCATGAAGCAGACCCGGACAAAGGCCCGAGTCGGATCAGCCATTCGAAAGAGAGGGGAGCAAGGCAAACAGCATGTGTGATGACGCCATAATACATATACTATGGACTCCGGAAAAGGTGCTTTCCTCTAAATCTTCCTGCCAATATGACCAAGTTGCAGAAACAAGATCAAATGATCGAAAGGATACTGCGACTAAAATATAGGCCGCTACGTTTTGGTCTTCGTATATAGTTAGTATAAAACTATCGGCAGCAGAAAATAAGTAGATTAAAGAAATTTTTAGTTCAAAATAATTATCCGATAGGATTGATTAAGAATTACTTCATTGCTCATAAATATAATACAGGGTAATAGCTACCTAGAATAAGACAAACAGATAGACCACTCAACTCGTTTCTTGATGTTGCCATTCTGCCAAATTTCGGAGAAAATAAGCAAAATACTGAGAAAATGGAGCATCAGAACAATTTCAATGTGGTAATGTCTATGTCTAGGAGACCTGCCGTTGCATGCACAAGTGGTTATCTAAATATAAAGCCGCCTGCAAAATGTAAGGGTCTAAAAATCCGAGCTAGCTGAACACATGGTTAATACAGCACATTCAATATAATGGTCCAGAACAAAGCGTTTTGCAGGATTTTACATTCAAACACAAGATAAGGAAGCTTCTAGATTCAAAACAGTCAACATCCTGAATAGCAGGAATGAATGTATGAAATAGAACAGGAATTATGTGTGGCTATTAGATAGACCTGAGGGACAGGAGTAAAAAGAGGCTTGAATAGCTTCGAGCCTGATTAGGATGCTTACACTTCATATGACATGGACTTAAATGCATACAATACCCAATACCACACACGTTAAAAGGCGTAAGGATCATACATTTCATCATTTAGGCAATGAAAGAGCTGCCTCTATAACCACTTCTTTTGCATGCATCAAGCTGATCCATCTACAAAAATGTAAGGAAAATCATAGGATGCTTCATTAGGATCCCAAAGGTAGTTATAAAAAGGTGAGTGTTATTATTTGGGGCCAACTCTATTTCCTTGGCATATTGCATTTGTTGCGTGTTTTTATAAAGTATGCTTTTTCGCTCTGGCAACGTCTGTCATATGATAGACGAGAGCTTAACATATTTTTATCCAGGTCGCAGACAGGTGAATCAAAGACTTTTTACACAATCAAAATCTTTAATCCGCGGCAATCCGCTATCGGTTTCA